CCTTCTAAGACAGACTGAGCTCTGACATTTAACAAGGCGACAAAAAGTCTAAGTACTTCTTTTTATTGCGTTAATATATTTGGGCAAAAATGGCCGCTCCCGGAATCAGTGATCGCGATGAAAATTATTACTTTTATCTTTTTACCGATTATCGCTAAATTCATTAAATCACAAACATATTAGTTTTAGGTTTAGATAATGATCCATTGATCATTCCTTTCTGATCAGACTTTTCCTTTAAAAGATGAATATTTTAGTTCAGCCTTTTTCCCTCTGGTAAATAAAAAAAACAATGATTACTTATGAACCATCCAGCCCCAGTTCCTGCTGATACGCCTCCTTAAAACGAATGTTCGAATTGAAACCATCCAGAATGTAACTGACTTGAGGCATTTTGGTGTAAATGATTTATGACCGACGGCAGGAAAGCTGAGGGGGAAACGTTCGTATCTGTAGACGGTTTTCAGGGACTCACCTTCTCTGATGAACCAGCTGGTTGCTTCGTTTTCAGAGCAGAAATCTCTAAATAAAAAAACAAACAGTTGATGAAATAAAGATCTCCGTATTAAAATCTAGTGTGACATCGGCCCAAATGATAAAGATCCTTTCACCTCTTTAACTCGGGTGCTGATGGGTTATCCGAGCCTCGGTCTGGATTCTACAGAACCAGTGAAGTAAATCAGCTACTGGATAAAAATAAAGGTTTTCAGAGGTGGAAAATCGACTCCATACCTGCTGCAGAGCTGCTGCTGAAGGAGGAGGAGGAGCCTCCTCTTTCTCCTCCTCCTCCTCCTCAGTATCCCAGTGCCTGGTGGGCCACTGCTCCTCCTCCTCCTCCAGGGAATCACAGCTCCAGGGACTGATCAGCTGCTGCGCTCCATCCACGTACGGCGGCATGATGGGGATGGCGTCGCTGCTGATCCCGTTTTTAAAGATGTCCTCCGGCAGGAAGTGGTCCTCGCAGATGAAAAGCTGCTCAGACGGGTCTCTGTTGGTTTCCCTCAGCGCGGCCAGCCACACCTAAGAGGGCAAAAGGTTCCACTTAAAGTAGCACCACAGCATGATGCTGCCACCACCATGTTTTATCAAAGTGACCGTCCTTTCAGGGCAATGCAGAATCCTTATGAAGCGACGAGCATCAGGATGAGGTGGATTACAGATATAGTTTTAAAGCCGTAGAGAAGCGGCTGTTCCAACCGTTGCATTTCCGGATTCTCCCGAATGGTACACGACTTTACACGAATGAATAAAGTGAATGTGATTGGTCGATTATCAAGGGGGCGGGATTCTTGAGGGGGAAGGTTTGCAAGCACGCTTGGCTCTGGCCGGTGTCTCGGAAGGTGTCTTGCTAACCGGTTAGCAACTTAGTGCTAGCAGGTTCCCAATGGGAAATTACAATGGGACCAAGTAGAAACGACGCTGTCAAGGAACGCTATGGACAGAGGAAACATGCAAGAG